TCTCTCTCTCTCTCTCTCTCTCTCTTTCTCTCTCTCTCTCTGCATTTCCTCAGATGAGGATTTAAAAAGAAAAGGTATTATGAATCCTGTTTTACAGATAGAGAGACTGAGGTCCAGACATGTTAATCTTTTTGCCCAAGGTCATGCAATGCCTGGTAAATGGAGGAAGAAATGTGTCTTCTGCTTTAAAGGACCATGTTCCCTGTGGGCTGGAGGGAACTTGCATGGAGGTAAAGGCAGGGAAATGCAGTATGTGGACTTTGATCCTGCCTGCGAATTGGATCCAAGCTCTTCTGAGCCCTTAAGGAAGAATTGTCATTTCCAAGCTTCTGCCAATTCTTTGTACTGCTAAAAATGGAAATCCAAATTGGTCTGTGGGGGCCAAGGCTCTCTTGTAGGGAAAAAGCACTTAATTGGGCTTCCATTGGTACAAAAGGAAATTCCATTCTAGAGCAGCAAAGCCTAGACCAGGAGGCCTTCAAGTTCTGTGGATAGCAAAGTAAAAGGGTGGGGCGTTGTTCTGATGTGAATGGGTTTGGGGCCTCCTCTGGTGGGGCAGAGAGGGAGATGGCTGTGGGGCTTGGCATTGGGGAGTAATGACACAGAGCAAAACCCTGTGCAGGTGAGGAGGGAGCAGAGCCATGAAGGTCAAGAAAGACCAGAAGGGACTGGATGGAATGGAGTATGAGGCAGGGTCCTGGGTGCGGTCATGGCTAGCACCAAGCTCAAATTTCCCTTCTGTGCACTGAAACGCCCTCAACTTTTCAGTCAAGCCAGCATGCTTCCTGTCAGCATTGCCTTGGGAATGAAGGAAGGCACTGAGTTCCTTTTGGGGTCAGAGACACTGTCCAGATGGACAATGATAACTGACCACCAAGACTATGTCTGTAGTCGTGGAAAAGCCCGGGTTTCCTTAAGTCTCATGGGTTGGAAGCACGGGTTATTTTATTTTTAAACAAAGATGACCCTGGAAGGTTGTAATACGCTCCGAGTTCAATGTACTTGCTGTGCTTCAGGGGATGAGACTTGAGCTGCGCTGCAGGACAGCTGAAACCTCGCAGCGGGATGCCTCTTAACGGGGTTCACCTGTCCTGGGGCCTCTCCCTGACCACAAGCACTTGGCCGCCGGCAGCAGGGTAGGTGATTATAGCATTAGATCACGCTTATAATGGAAAAAAGGCTTTTCCTCTCCAGCTGACTAATCAGCTTGCCATTTTTATTGCATGATCAGTATCAAGAGACAGCGATTCTGAACTCTGTCAGCATCCCGGGTGTACGCTGGCGTGACAGAGAGAACAGCTATATTAGCAGAGAACAGGTGGGGGGATTAGCGAACGCGCTAAGAAGGTCAAGAAAGCTTGGTCCCTGGAGGCACAGGAAAAGGCTGCCGGCTCCTATTGGAACAAGAGCAGCTACTAGTAGAGAGTTCTCCTAAGCCAAGTCCTTATAGGCAATGTGCATTTGCCTTTTTCTTCTTATTTTAATGTCAAAAGTATTTAATGCTCGTTATCCATCTGTATTAGTTTCCTAGGGCCGCCATAACAAATGACCACAACCTTGGTGGCTTCAAACAGCAGAAAATTATTCTCTCCCTGTTCTGGAGGTCAAAAGTCCAAAAGCAAGGTGTTGGCTGAGTCACGCTCCCTCTGGAGGCTCCAGGGAAGAATTCTTCTTTACCTTTTCTGGTGCCAGATGGTTCCAAGAAAATCCTTGGTGGTCCTTGGCTTGTGCCTGCATCACCCCCACTGCTGCCTCTATCTTTACAGGGCCCTCTGTGTGTCTCATGTAAGAAACTTGTCATTGGATTTAGGGACCATCTGCACAATCCAGGATGATCTCACCTCAAAATCCTTCACTTAATTACATTTGCAATAACCCTTTTCCACATAAGGTCGCATTCAAAGGTATCAGGAACTAGGGTGCACACATATGTTTTTTGGGGGCCACCATTCACCCCAGTACAGTAACTGATAAAAGAATTCAAAGATGAGCATGAGGAAGAATAAAGTTTTGGAAAACCTCATCAGTGCATTTTCCCCTTTCAATAGTCTCATTTCTCTCCCTGCAGCCCTCCTTCATTTTTTTT